GAATGTAGGGGCATGCCTGGCAGCCCCCACCGCGCCCATTATTGACAAAACTGCTTCAGTCTCCCTGTATAGGCCGCCTCTTGCAAATGCATATATCAGTGAGTTGTAGCTTTCAACTGATGGTTTGCTTCCCACTTCATTCATTGTGTTGAAGGCAACAAGAGCTTCGTCATACAATGCTGCTTGCCCATATGCTTCAATAACCCCTGTATAAGCCTTCGAACTAGGCACTATTCCTTTCTCGCTCATGTGAAGTAAAATGTTCTTGGCATCCTCATGGAGTCCTCCCTTTCCACAAGCATATATCAACCCTTCATAGGTCTCCATATTCGGCTCAATATTCTCCTCCACCATATCATGAAACAAAGTCACCACCTCTTTAAAATACCCACCCTCCCCAAACACCTGTATGAGAATGTTATATGTAGCCGGGTCTGGCTCTGTATTGCTCATTTTCATCTCAAGAAAAAGCTCCCGAACATCATCATACCGTCCATGCCTCCCATACAAATTCAACAGAATACTATAAGTGGCCGCATTTGGCATACACCCTGCTGCTTGCATCTGCCTAAACACACCCATTGACTCTCTAATTGACCCCAATTGTGCATATGCCTCTAATAACACATTATACGATGTAATATCAGGTAAATTCCCTCCAGATTCCATCTCTTTAAGCAGCTCTGATACTTTCTCAAGCTTATCCAATTTACCAAAAGTTTCAACAAGATAACGATACGTGGTTATATCCGGAACAATCCCACCCTCATTCATAGTCCTGAACACCATCTCTGCCTCATCACCTAAACCTCTACCAGCACAAGCACTAAGCAAAGTATTATAAGTAACAAGGTCAGGTTGAATCCCTTCATGCCTCATTTCGGCAAACAATCCTAATAACCCTTCCCATTCCAACCCACCTCTAGCACAGGCATTGAGAACGGTATTATAAGTCAATATACTCGGCGAAACCTTATCTTTCTTCATTCTATCAAGAAATTGAAGGGAGGTTTCATACTGACCG